TGGAAGATAAATGTCCGTACTACGAAGTCTGTTTGCCTGTCTGTTTCACTGATCAGAACCCAGAACTCTCTCACCTTACTCTGGCCGACCACAAGACTGTATAAGTTAGTATTTCGCCATTAGCAAATCACAGTATCACACGAGCCTAAAATTAAATTATCAATGAGCTGAAGTTGAAATCACAATCACGCAATTCTTCTATGCATAGTTTGGGTTCTTAGTACAACAGTTAAATATAAATTGAAAAGTTTTCTGTAAGACTCTCAAGTTGGTCTGATATTCACGTTACTACACCCCACTCCACGCTAGTCTCAGGAGAGATAAGGTTAGGACTAGAGGGGCCAGGGCTACGGCTAGGAGAGCTAAAGCTTGAATTAGAGGGGCTAGGACAACAGCTAGGAGAGCTAAGGCTAGGGCTACGACTAATACTGGTGCTACCTGACCTGGAGCTGCATGGTGTTGGAAGGACGTTCTTGGCTCTGTGTAGCTCTCCTCCCGACTCTCCTCCCTTATATACGAAACAGTCCTTCCCTCGCCATACCCACAGGCTAGGATAATGGACCTACCCGCTTTTTACGACTTTATATCAACAAGGCAAAACATATCCCTCCAACCCTCACTGTTGTTGTTAAACTGTTATTACTGCGCTTCAACAGCTAATGTCTTTAAGCGCGTAACAAGGTTATTAATTACACTATTCCATCAACAATTTAATATTGTGAGATTAAACTCGGAAGCCTCACTTAAACCTACAGAAAGTGCTCGTACTTGTTATCGCTTGAGTTGTTTGTTTTCTGTAATTTCTATCTTTAGGAATTGATATGATTATTTTCTTACGAAGCGTATTGAAAACTCTTGAGTATTCCAAAATGCAAATTAGATCCCCCCTTTTCACAAATAAGTAAAAGGCTTGTATTTATTTTTCTAATTCCAACCGGTAATATATGATGCAATAGCGTCTTATCTACTACGTCTTAAAGAAAGTCTTCACGATATATCATATTATATTATGGGATAATATGATACGTTCTGAATGAAAGAGACGCAGGAGCATCGACGCGAGAAAGATTTGAGCTCGGGCCAGGTGGGTGTGTTTTATTATACAGGGTAGTCACACCCATCCACTTACCAAATACTCCACAACCTTCGTCTATTGATGTTATTTTTACACTAACTTTCATCTACATTTGTGTATGATTCATTTAATAAACAAAAGAGGATATTTTGATTTATGTCCACATTTACGACATGAGTTTGTTAGTTTATGAAAGGTATGGCGGGTTATAGGTGACACGGCTGGTAAGACGGGAGAAAAGGTTACATAAGATAGGGAAGATTACATAAGTCTTCCACTGTATATAACATTATGTTTCATGGCACAACCTTCATGCGATTCGCCTTCTAAGAACATATTGCTACATTAATTCCTGTATTTGAAGTGGCTCATGTCCCATTAGATAGTATTTTCATTAGCCTTATCTTTCAAACTACATTAATTATGGTCGCGTTAAACGATGAGAAAATAACTTCCACGTTCCTTATTAACACTGTGTAAAATAATCTTAGTGTGATAAATAGATTCCCCTGTCAGTGTTCTATACAGTTTGGTATTCAGGGATCATATATCAGCCATGGTTTGTGGTTTAGTTAATTTTAGTTAATTACCGATGAGTGTCTTTCTGACCTTCACCACCTTACCCGACACAGCGAGGTCATGGGCTTAGGTTGTTTAGGGTGCTCGTGACCTTCTTCACCCATCCTATTTTCTGTGGACGCCTCCTTGGAGAGCTCGATATATTTTAGTGTATTAATCCTTTTTGTTCCCCTAATCTTTTATTATTTCCCTAAACTAGGGTCCAGAAAACTCTTGTCATTACAATATTTCGAAGCAGTTTCTACGTCACTGTCTGGCATCGTTATGTTGTGGCTCAGTCATTAAGATGTATTTTTACAGCATCGGAGAGGGAGTTAGTCTTGGAAGGTCTCGCTGCTCTGGGAGGTCTGGTCGCTGTATGAGGTTGTGTCGCTCTCAGAGTTCTGACTGCTATGGTAGGTCTGGTCACTAATGGAGGTCTGGTCGCTCTGGAAGATCTGGCCGTTCTGGAAGATCTGGCCGCTCTGGAAGATCTGGCCGTTCTGGAAGATCTGGTTGCTCTGGACGTCCTAGTCATTCCGGAAGTTCTGACCGTTCTGGAAATTCTAGCCGTTCTGGAAGTTCTGGCCGTTTACGATTTTCTGGGAGGTCTGGTCGCCATGGAATAACTGGAAATTCTGGTCGTTGTGGTAGTTCTGGAAATCCGAGAAGCTCTGGAAACCTTAAGGCATCGCTGCTGCCCTAGAGGCACACAGGGCCACACAACTATACTCTGAGGAAGAGACGAAAGGCATCATCTTAAAATGTCTGTTAAGTATTAATGGAGACGACTGCTGTAGAGACTGTGGTATGAGCAATAGTAAATAAGTAAAGTTAATAATAACCTTTGTATACGACCGAAAATATGGTACAGATATCATAGGAACAGTTTCCTTCCTTACAAATGCTAGCGACCAAAAAAAAACAAAAAAACAAAACAAAAAAAAACAAATGATGAATCAGGTTTTCTTCAAATAAAGATGTGAACTGGTACTCACCTGGACACAGCTTAGCACTCACCTGGACTCACCTAGACATAGCTTAGCACTCACCTGGACACAGCTTAGCACTCACCTTGACATAACATGGCATTTACCTGGATGTAGCTTTACACTCGCCTGGATATACATTTGTGTTATGTTGGTCGTCGCAGTTAACTGAAGCATCCCACACCGTCACTGCCTTATATACTTGAAAACTTTCAGTCTCCCAGTGTAGTGACGGATGTAGAGGTCACATACTCTCCCTTAATAGTGGCCATAAAATATAAAACTAACCTGTACACCATAACCGCTGTAGTCTTGTAAAACTATGCTCGTTAATTGGAAATTATATCAGTAAAAAAACTTACCTGGTTAATTATTGGTCACCAAGAAACTCTCAGTAAAACTTCCTCTGACCAATTTGATTAGTCAAACACGAGAAATTATTGTATAATTATGTACAGTAGTTTATTGAATTAGCTTAAGGTTGAGTAAACTGGTTAGTAATCAAAGGACTGAGTGAGTGGGAATACGGATGACTTATTTAGTAAATATTGTATAAAGGGATAAATGAGCATAAAAATAATTTATTAGTAGGTATACAAATTAAAAACATTTTGGTTAATACTACAGTACACTGTTCATTGGTGATTTGCTGTTAATCACGTTTGTATTCCTCTTGGGTTTCTCTATTGGATCACTGTTTGATAACCAATCTTTGCACTGATCATTTTAGGAGCGCCTATAGGACGTATCTTGTCTGTATGAGCGCTGACTGTGTGCGAGCGTACGTGCCTGTTGTCATTGCCCTAAAATTTCGTCAATGTGGTCCAGCTGCGCTTAAAATTAGCTCGTTGATACATTTTGACCAGTATATGTCTCCTTGATTTCATATTATTTTTCAATGTTCTTTTTCACATTTTAAGAATTGTCAAAATATCCTGAAAAAAAAAACTTTCGCCTGACGTCAAAAATATATAAATGAAGTAGATACTGATACATATTGAGGAAATCTTCACTAAAACGTAACATGGAATTTGCATAACTATTACAAATTATTAAACAAAAAAAAAAAAAAAATATATATATATATATATATATATATATATATATATATATATATATATATATATATATATATATATATATATATATATATATATATATATATTTATGCTCGTCTGATAAGTTAATTTTGCTCATCATTTTTAATATATGATTTTTGTAGGTTTATTGTATATTGATATTGTAATGCGTGTTTTATTGTTCTTCATATTTGCTAAAGATTTCAGTTTCTATGTTGGAAGTCGTAGTAGTGACCCAAAAGTTGCTTTCTTCTGTATCGTCAATTCTTCCACTTGTTCCTTGAGGCGAGTATGTAAAACTTGAGCTATTGATTACGTTGTTACTGCGGGTAAAATATTTTGTTGTGTGTTTTTGGTTGATCTATGAATAATTTATTGAGTTAAGGTCTGCTCCCTTACCTTTATCAGCCATCAGTGGTAGCCTTGTTCGCTTGGGTGCGTCATTGGATAAGGATTCTAGATGGAAATGTAAAAAAAAAAAAAAGTGAGAAAAAAAAGGTTATGATGACTGGCAGGAAAACGTACAACTCATCATGTTAGTTGTATAAGGTATCTACCATCCCCAAATAATATTTTAGCAGACTGGAAGAAAGCTGAAATTAGCTATCATGCAAGAACCTTTTGAGACGATAAAAAATGCTATCCATAAACTTATCCGAATCACTTACAGCCATACTGGGGGTGAAAGATCACACACGCACTACAGTTCTGTTAGATGTTCAAAGATGAAAGAGACTTAGTCATATTGGCCATCTACAACTCTAGTGGTGACAGATGATCACCCAGGCTCCAAAAGTAACAGTTTTGAATTGCCACTGAGATAATTGAGAAAAACCAAGAGATAATTGGTGAAGCGTCTTCAGATATTATCCGTCCATTCTGGTCCCTCCTCCGCGAGACTCGAAACAGTTGAAGTGTTCACATTGTCCCACTAAAAACAACTATATTCCGCCACTTTGCCGACAAGACAATTTAGATTTTTTTATGGGTGCGCCAAGAGCCAGGGTGTATTATAACAGTATCGGAATGCTGGGAATAATACCGACTGAAACAGACCTCCAGACTGTGACCACTGTGTGCCTATAGTTTTGAGGTCTTTTGCTTTGAAAACTTTCACAGGAGGAGTTGAGTTTTACAGACTTTGCCCCTCATTAGACTTCTTTTTGAAATTTATGAAAGAGTCATGTTCTGTTTTCGAAGTCTTGGTTGAATTCAGGGCCACTGAAATATAACACTAAATTGTCTTTCAATACATTTGGATGGGTATATAGGCCTCGACGGGTGAATATAAATAAGGTGGCCTATGATAAATTTTATTTGAGATAAATTAGATTATCATGACAGATATAAACAAAATTCTGAAATATAGGTCGGTAAACTTGCTTCTAGTGTCCAAGTTACTGATATGTTTTTTGTTGTTGTTCAGTACCGAAGAAGTCCATCTCTCTCAGTTTGTTCATGAATTCGATCACGGAAGGCATGACAGCTTCGGCGGCGTTAATATCCTGAATATCCTTCCTGTTAAGTTCTTTGCCCTCAGCATCTGCAGTGGCCTTCAGGACCTTACGTGAGAGGGGAAGGAAATCAAGCATGACCTGCTGGACGCGTTCTGGGTCGGTGGAGCGACTATTTCCCACACGTTGCAAAACTTCAGTGATTTCTGGCAGGATGTCAATAGTGGCGGCGACGAGTCTCTGGTTTTCGCCAAGGTCTGCTGATTCTGGCTGTAAGATCCCTGTGGCCTGGTAGGTCTCATGAGACCTGGGGGTCTGGTAGTTCTGGGGCTGTCCTAGTGCCACGGAGGCACACGCGGCCATGCAGAGGAGGATCTGAGAAAATAATATTCTTTAAATTTAAGAATAAAAATTATGGAATTAGTGATAATATATATATATATATATATATATATATATATATATATATATATATATATATATATATATATATATATATATATATCGTAGGTATAAGTTGGTTGTTCCATGGTAGTAAACAATGTATTAAATAATTTTTTTTATCATAAATGAATTAATCTTAACAATGTTATGGCAATAAAAATATTTCCTCATTTGGCAAAAACGTCAATTAGCTTTTTAAACTTCAACGGCAATTATACCTATGTATCGTAAAATGGTTGGCAAACTCGCCTCGCAAACGAGTGGGCCCGGGTTGGATCCCCGATCAGAGTGAATCTATGGGCAAGATTCTTTATGCCATTTGCCTCTGTCTACTGAGAAGTAATTGGGAACCTGGATGTTAATCGATTTGCGGAGCTGTTTCAGGGTAATGGTTAGCCAGTGCAGTTGGCGAATTGTCCGTTCTTAGATTAATTCTTAACACTGGGTCATGCAACTTGTTAACACAGTGTGTAGCTGGTTGTGTTGCCGACAGATTCTACACCTTAAACAAATTCACGCCCAGTTGGCCGTAGGGCCGGCCATCCTTGACCACAAGGGGCAACCATTGTTATGTTTGTGTTTTTCATAACGTGTGTAGTAGGTTCTGATAATGTAAGCCGCTGTGTCAACACCAGGCAAGAATCCTTGACGTAAACTTCGTACATCAAATTCGTTATATCATCAGCCAACGAGATAAAAATGGGTGGATGAGACAGCTGAACACAGCTGACGACTGTGTGACAGAACTTGGTGCGCAGCTTCACAATTCAACACACTTCTCGACACAACGTTGAACTCACCTGGCGATACATCTCAGGTAGAACGTTAGAAGTCAACTGAAGACTTCCCGTACCGTCTCTGCCTTATATACCGCACTGCCTTCACTGGCTCAGCTCCTCCTTAGTTCAAGGTCACGGATGGCCATGAAATGACGCGCGGCAAATAACCGTTCTTACATCATGATAGTCTTTTACAGTTATGGGGTGTACGACGCCATTTACGATGACCTGAACACTTTTCGAAGCTTTGGAGAAGTCTTGAAGCAAGTTTCCTGGTGGGAATACGACCAGTTTTAGAGCGGCGTTTGAACTGTTAGTAAGATGGATATCATAATTAATCAGACCCATAAAATTATTTCGAACTTAGTAATATTATATTTGGGGTTTATTCACACAAAATAATAATAAATACAAATGAATACAAAAATTACCGATTATGGAGAGAGAGAGAGAGAGAGAGAGAGAGAGAGAGAGAGAGAGAGAGAGAGTAAATAAGCTAAAATGATCCCTGACTTATACAACGTGACCAATATAATATAGAATTAGAATTCGCTGAAGACCTCTGCACTCTTATTACTTACACTTCTAGATATAAAACCCAATACTCTGTTTGCCTTAATTCGAACATTAACGCACTGTTTTCTAGGCCGTAGGTCCGGGCTTACAAGTACCCCTAGGTCTCTTTCACAAGTCGACTTCTCTAGGTTGATGTTGTTAAGGCTGTATACATTGACAGTATTTGTTCTTCCAATATTAAGTACGCTGCACTTATAGGTGTTGAATTTCATTTGCCATTTTTCAGACCACTCCTGCAGTTTATATAGATCCTCCTCTAATGCATTTGCATCCTGCCCTGAATTAATCTGTCGCCCTATTTTGGTGTCATCCGCAAACTTGCAATGTCACTGCTGATTCCAGTATCTAGATCGTTTATGTAGATTATGAACAAGAGTAGGCCTAGTACTGACCCCTGGGGAACCCCACTGGTTACACGACCCCACTCAGATTTAACACCATCTACGCTGACCCTCTGCGTTCTATCGGTGAGCCATGATTTTATCCAATTTAAAACTTTCCCCTCGATACCATGAGCCTTAATTTTTCTCAGAGGCCTCTGATGCGGTACTCTGTCAAATGCTTTGCTAAAGTCTAAGTAAATAACATCGTAATTTTCGTCATTATCTACTACCACGAAGACTTTCCTAAAAAATATCAGCAGATTTGTTAGACAAGATTTTCCCTTTGTAAACCCGTTGAGAGTCGTAGATTAATTTGCTTCTCTCTAAATGCGATCGGATACTATCTGCTATAATTGATTCAAGAAATTTTCCCACTACTGACGTCAAACTGATCGGCCAGTAATTTGACGCTGATGCTCTGTCTCCCTTTTTGAATATGGGTACTACATTTGCCTGTTTCCACAAGTCTGGCACAACTCCGGTGTCTAATGATTTTGTAAATAAGCTTACGAGGGGTCCGCTAATCTGTTCCCTACACTCTTTCAAGACTCGAGGGAAAATTTCATCCGGCCCTGGGGATTTTGTCTTCTTTAGTTTATTTATCTTCTTAAGAACATCTCTTTTCTGATAGTGATATTCTTTAATTTCTCTTCTTCCTTTCCCTTAAATATCAGTTCCACCTTTGGAATTTCATCGCGAAATTCCTCTGTGAAAACTGATAAGAAGTAGCTGTTCAATGCTTTGCTTATTTCATCGCTGCCATTTATCACTTCCCCCTCCCTGACTTTAAAGGCCCAACTTTGTCCTTGACCTTTGTTCTATATACCTGGAAAAATCCCTTGGGATTCGCCTTGGATTCTCTTGCTATTTTGATTTCATAGTCTCTCTTTGCTTTCCTTACATTTTTCTTAACATTCCTAGATAGTTCATTATACCTATTTCTGAGCTGCTCCTCCCCTCCCTTTAATTTCTTATATATTCCTTTCATTATTCCTATGTCATGTTTAAGTTTTCTGGTCATCCACCTTGGCTCATTCTTATTTGACCTAATTTTTCTGTATGGTATATTTTGTTCTTGTGCTTTATGTAGTATACTAGTGAATATATTATAGTCATGATCAATTGTTGTCATCTATGACCTCACCCCTTCCTACTGGTGTCTGACGTGACTGTTCCCAGGTGACCTCACCTAGGTACCTTCTTAACCCCTGATAATCCGCCAACCGAAAGTTTGGGACTCTGACCATATTGTCATTGTTTTTCGTTTCCCAATTTAGGGTGAACCTGATTTCTCTGTGATCACTGTTACCTAGTTCTTCCCCTTCTGTGATATCTCTGATAATATTTTCTTTATTTGTTAATACTAGGTCTAATATATTGTCGCCTCTAATAGGTTGTGTAATTAGTTGTTTCAAAAAATTGTCCTGTACTGCGTCTAGGAAGTCTTCAGATTCATAGTCACCTACAATGTTGTCCCAGTCAATATTTCTGAAGTTGAAATCCCCCATAATGCACAGGTTGTCATATTTTGCTACCCTACTCATTTCCTGCCATATGGGCTGAGCTGCTTCCTTCCCAAGACTTGGGGGCCTGTAAATCACTCCCATAATTAGTTTTTCTCTTCCTTCCGTGATTTATACCCATACAGACACGGTTCCTATTTCACCCTTTATTGAATTATTAATATAACATTTTATTGTATCCTTGACGAAGAGTGCGACCCCTCCCCCCTTCTTACCTTCCCTGTCCTTGTGAAAAAGGTTGTACCCTTCTATGTGGTACTCTGATAAAAAAATTTTACTTGCCAGATTCATCCAAGTTTCGGTGATTGCTATGACGTCTACATTCTCGGTACATACAACCGCTCTCAGCAAGTCTATTTTATTTCTAACGCTCCTACTGTTTGTATAGTATACATTTAAACCTACCCTTCCCTGGTCCTCTTTTACCCCTTGTCCTGAGTAACCAATTTTACTTCCCAGGACCAGCTTGTTTTTTGACTCCCACTTACCCCGACCTCTCTCTACTGGCGAAACCCCCCGTTTGGAGTAGCAATTTCACGCTCCAGGGATGCAGACAACGTCTTTGCCCACGCACGAGACAAGTGTACTTCGTCACGACTGTACAGGTAGTCGTTGCCAGTTATCAATGAATGCCCAACCATTGTTTGTACAATGTTTTTCCAGTCGGCAATTTATAGCAATTGCCCTGGACAGCCATTCACGACCAACCCCTCTTCTAGGCAAGACACCACATACTCTCGGGATTCCTCCCCTATCTCTAATCTTCCCCAGCGCCTCCCTATACTTCTTGAAAAGTTCCTCACTCCTAACCTTTCCTATGTCGTTTCCTCCCACACTAAGACACACTACTGGATTGGTACCCTCCCCTGACAAAACCCTATCTATCCTCTCAGCTACATGCCCTATCCCAGCCCCAGGAAAACACACCCTAGTTCTACGTTTCCTATCTCTTACACAAAAAGTCCTATTTAAGAACCTCACCTGGCTGTCCCCAACTACCACGACCTTACCTGTGGGCAGGGGTTGTACAACTGCCCTTTCCTCTCCTTGCTCCATACCGTCCTGCCTCTTCTCTTCCTCGCCAGCTTCCTCCAGCACCTGGTAGGGGTTACTACACTCCACACCCTGGTCAGCTTTCCTGAGTCTGACCCTAGTCCCCTTGGAGACAACCACTCTCCACTCTTGCTCCTCCTTCGCAGGTGTCCTGCTAGGCAGGACACCTACCTGAAGGAGTTCAGTCCTGAGGGCTTTATTTTCCCCCTTTAGAGTGTCAAGCTCACTCCTCAACTGCCCCAGCTGCCTTAGCAGAGTGGCCAGTAGGTCGTCTTTCCTCACACCACGCTCCTCTTCTCCCAAGACACAACGATCCAAGGCGGCCATTTTCCTTGGTCACTAACGGGAGCACTTGGGGCCATGACCTTCTCCAAGCTGGGTCAGGCAGCAACTGCTGGGTCAGGTAGCATCCCGTGCATCCATAACAGCAGTTATTACATGAAGTTCACCAGTGAAGTACTCCAGGCGCACCTTGTACAGTTTAAAGAGAAGGAACGGATATCCTGATGGCAATGTTATTGTCCGTCTAAAATCATTGTCCATATTTCATGCTCGCAGTCATAGACAAGAACGTCATGTACAGAAGCCCATCAGGACCACCACCTTCAACAGAAAATAAAAGACATCTACTCTACTCCTAACAGACCGTACCAATACACTGAAGTTCTCCGAATATGGTACAAACTCCGCTCCTTTCTCCTCTCCATTTCACCTCACTCGCCAACAAATTTGACTAGCTCGCCACCAGTCAAGACAGTTACTGCCAACGTCATTGCCATCTGTGAAGGATATCAACTCTTTCATCACCTCCATACACATAGACGTGGATGGGACGTTGCCCTCCTGTCAGGATGAACTACGTCAATCACGCCTGTATGTTTCAGCTGATGTGGAGGCATTATGGGTACGTGTTGTACCACATGCCCACCCTTGCCACACTGCCTCAATCATATACTGTGTGGTATACCACCCGCCTCCCTCACCCACCAGAGACACTTTTATCAATCACCTCATTACCACCTCAAGAGTAAGGTACCTTTGTTTGCTAATCTCAAGTTTAGACATAAAGAGGCACAATATTTTGACTCCCAAATTTGATTTTTAACATGTTGACAAAATTGACACACCCTAGTACCCATGTGGGGATTTTAACGAAATTGACACCACTGATATATGGGACCAGCTGCTACTATCACAAGCTGTGAACCTCCTTACTCGCGGTCAAAACACCCTTGACCTTATCTTAACTGACCTAGCGGACCAGTACCAACCACCTCAACCAATAACTCCTATCTGGTGTAGCACACACCTATCAGTGTTTTGGTCCAGGTTTCCTGCATGGTGTTGACACAAGGGCTTATGTTAAAAGAACCTACTATACACGTGATGAAACACACACACAAACATAACAATGGTTGCCCCTTGTGTTCGAGGATGGCCGTCTAGGAGGCCCGAGAAGTGAATTTGTTTAAGGTGTCGCCAACATAGCAACCACACCCTGCGTTAACGAGTTGCATGACCCTCTGTCAAGGAATATTCCTAGGTCGGACAATAAAAGAGAAAGAATATTACAAATACAAATAAC